TTGGATGTAAAAGACTGATAGAAGCAAGTAATTCAAATGTAAGCTCTAATGAGGCTAAATATTAACTTCTTAATATTATTTAAACTATTTAACTTCATTAGCTCTTACATTTCCAATGGGTTTTAACATTTCCTCAAAGGCCATGAAGAACTAAAATGAAAAAAACCTATTAAAATAAATTATAAACTAAGCTGAAAAACATTCCTGGACCACAGACATACTGAACCTCTACACTAGCTTGGCTCTAGGGCAATAAAACAGCATACAACTAACAAGTACAAATTCCAGCAGTGATAGGATGGTTCAAATTCACAAAACCTGCACAAAGTTTTAAGGAAATACAATGAAGAAACTAGAGACATGGCAAGCTAACTAGCTTTAATAGGAAAAACATGCAGGCTTCTCAAACATGCCAATATTTTCAGGCATGTACTACTTCTACCTGTAAATTTTTCTTATGTGTCAGTAAAACAAAATTTTAATACTACTTTTAGAGTAATTGCAGGGTGGGAGCAAGAAAGGAAATTATATGCAACTTCACTACACATTTGCAAAGTTTCATTTTGTCACATGGTGTCAAAGAGCTAATATACTGTATTTTTTATCTGAAGTTGGACCTAAATTTTCCCTATTGACAGGTTCCCCTATCTTACCATGGTATAACTTGAAGCTAACATGACTGAAACTGGATGTAATCAGGTGAGAAACTGTGCTGTAATGGCTCTAGCTTGGGGACTGTAGCATCTGATATGGAAGAGAAAATAAATTCTGATTACCTACTGCAACCCATAGTGTGACTAAAGGACACTATAGTATTGGCATGCTCAGAGCTATTCAAATATATGGATTTGAATTAGTACAGTGCAGAATATCAGCAGGTTCTAACCAACTGACTTTGGTAATCAATGAGGATATACACAGCTGCAATATAGTTAGGGGAAGAACTGCAGGATTTGTGCACATCTGGTCTTGCATCATGAGACCTAAGATGATTAGTTGCAAAGGACTGCAACCACTGCAACCCAGTCTTTCTAGAAATTCTCTCATAAAATGAGCAACTAGGCTATTTTGCCCTGACCTATTCATAGTCATCAAGTATTGGACATCTCGGCACACTGATTGACCAAGATTTGGAAGCACATGTTAAACTAACACTTGAACAAGAAGTTATGGTCTTGCATACACTCCCACAAAGCTGTTTCCAGTCCCCAGCAGCAGATTTCACTGTGAGCTACATCCTGTGAAAGCAGCAACACGGCATGGGCCTGTTTGCCTTCACACATCTCTCCTAACGGTGTTATTGCAACATTGCCACTAGACTATGCAATATTACTCAATGTTTTATTTTCAGCAGATCCTGAAAGGACCCATTTGCTCCTCTTTTGACACATATTTTAAATATATATAGAAATAACAGCATCTCTAAATCATCAGGAACATACAAGATAGAACCAGAGTTTAATATACCAACAAACTAAAATGCAACTGAACAGATCTCTCAAACTGCACATCCTAACTAACTACATGAGAAACACGAGTATCATCCTTTGCAAAAAAAAAGTTTGGTTTAATGACATTTTCCTTGCTTTCAAAACATTTTCTTAAATACCCCACAAATCTATGGGTACAATTTCATAAACATCCAAATGTTAAGCTGCTGCCATTGTTGCCAAGGTACTTTATTATAGAAACTACAAACTTGTAGTGGTTTACCAGCACCTGAATAAAAGCATTTGCGGTGAATGAGAGAAGCCCGAACTAGTCATAGGATGCTGACACATACTGAAAAACCTACAGTTATCCTTGAGCAGTGATGTGAAATGACTTAACAATATTGATCACCTCAGCACAGAGAAGATAAAAATTGAGTTAAATCTTGTAGCTAATCCTTGTTTTTAAAGGAAGTTGCTATCCAAGCCCTCAAAAAAACATCTTTATGCTTGGTGTGTTTGTTGTTGTTTGCTTTTTTATTTGTTTGTTTCAAATCAACTGCTGCTTGTTAAAAGATTGGTGGTTCTGCAGACTTAGTGCCTGGCAAATTCATTAAACTCAGTTGCTGGCTGAAGTGAAGATCTACTGCTTGATCTTTACACAAGCATAACTACAAGAAGACTCAGTGCAGCAAACAATTTTTAAAGCAACACAAGTGTTTTCCAAACAAGCCTAAGTATTCCCACATATTATTCAACAAAATCTAAACTGTATCACTGCGTACCAATCAAGCAAAAATCTTATTTCAACAGTATGTCAGCACAGATGATAAATATGTATATATGTATAAAATACATGTAGTTATATACAAACATGTATTTTTTTAAACATACATATAATTTTATAAAACACCTAATTTATAAGGGATGAAAATTGATCCATATATAATGTGTCAAATTTCTTCTTATAAATCAACCTTGATTCAAACCTATAAAATCTTAAAATGTTCTAATCTTCTGACTGGCATACAGAAAATGTGCCATTGCTGCCTTCTTAAGGGGAAAAACTAGATATATCTAATAATAATACAGATGTAAAAAAGCTAAACCAGTAAATACAAATAGGTTAATTTTCTTTCCCACATTACCTGATCTTGGCTTCAGGCCAAAAGGGATTGTGGTGTTTGTAGTAGGAGACATTGTCGGACTTTTATCCTTACTCTGTGTAATTCAAGAACATAAATCACAGTAAGAATAATACCCAGAATATCTCAGTACATCTGACTATGTAAAATGCAAAAGTTAACAATACTGCATGCTACAACTATTCCACCATAATCTGATCACAACACTGCCTCAAACCTATGATAATCTCTCTTTTTTATTGCACACTGTTCCTTTGCTGGAAAAGATGAGTTTCTGACAAACAACAGTAAGATATCCCTCTAGTCATAAAAAAGCTCAATTAATTCTCAGTTTTCTCCCATGCCATCACTTGGTTCCATCAAACATACATTTTTGTGGCAAATCACACTTAGAAAAACAGAAATGTTTTCCTTAGATACGTTTGTTTCTCTCACAGAATTAATTAGCATTCTGCATGGTGTTGCCCATGCAACACTCAACTCCTGCGTAACAGTTGCAGCAGGAAGAATGGAGTAGCAGCATAGGTGAGGAGAAGGTGAGACAATCACCATACCACCAACAGTGACACAGAGAGAGTCCTATGACTAAACTTCATAATGAGAATCCCATTTACAAAGTGACTCCACTAGAAGCTGGGACCTGTACAAGTCCCATCACTAAGACTGGTGGAAGGTGTCTGGGTGCTCATGAATTTGCAAGATGCTCATACACAGTGCAATGTGGAGGGAGAAGCCCTATATCTGCACAGATAATATGAAAGGGAAAAAAAAAATCTCCATAAGGAGCTCCATACAGTTTCCTTTTTTGATCTGAGGAAAGCAGAAGGATCTTCTGTGAAAGCAATAGGATCAATAAAATCAGACTCCTCTCTGGAAACTAATTAAGGACATGACATAACTGTGCAAAAAGAAATTGGCACTGAAATCAATAGAAAACCTCATGGAAAAAGGAAGAATAATAAAAAAGAAAAACTTTAAAAATGTGTCAGAATGCAAAAAATTTAAATGTTTTATACTAAATTATGTAACTCAAGCTTATCTGAAAGTGTATTTGCATACCCTAGTAAATCCTTAAGATGACAAGAATAAACCCACACATGTTCTGTGATACTTATATTAAATTTAGAATATAAGCCATTCATATAGAACACATAAGAGACAAACAAATGTCATTAGCACCTTACCTCATTGTGAGAGGTTTGCCCACTTGTATTCCAAACAATTACATCATTCTGCATGTTTGGAAAGGAAAAAAAAAGGAAAAATAAAGAAACCATTTCAGAAACTGTCTTAGTGATACATCACAGCAGGACGTTTTACTCATGCTAAGTCAGATACATATTAATACTTAATTCTTTTTTTTTCACTGAAAGCATTAGTTTTCGTCAATAATATTTTTATTGCTAGCTGAACAACATTTTAAGAAAACTTGTGGAAATTGTTCACACAGACTTGTCATTAATTTTGTAGCTTCAATACTAAGAGATTATAAGTGCCTTTATAAGATTTTAATCTCTGTTGGTTAAAACGCAGCATCCAATTTTTGTTTCACAGATTTTTTAAATTAAACTATCACCAAGGTTTAAGAATGCAAATATAGATTTTTGATACCAATTTGAAGAGATAAGTATTCCGTAAGCAATTAATTTTGTAACTGCAATGTGACACACCTTTTGTTACCACTTCTGCTATAGTTACATTGGAAACGTGTACATCACATTAATAAATATGAAACACAATCATTAACTCAGCATCAATGGTAACTCAGCAGAAACACACCTGGCATAAGCAAAAGCAAATTATAATTCAATTCAAAACAACTTCCTTAGGGTCAATTTTTTTAATTGACAAAAAATGGAAACAAAAATAAAAGCGAGCACTTGGAACACATGGCCACAACAGCTACAGAGCTTGCCAAAAGTTAGCAAAATGGGAAGGAAGATTACACACCCATTTTACTTCATGACCTTTCTTGGCCACTTTTCAAGCCTATAAAAAAATTCTTCAGCTTTAGACACTTCTCATAATACTAGCTCAACCACTGTATTACCTAAAGTAAACAGAAAGAAATCTTACTCATCTGATCCCAACCAGTTCTTCCTGGGGACTTGAATGCTTGAGCGCTTCTGTGCTAGTCAGAATTTTGAATTTATGCTAAATTCAATTCATTTAGTACCACAAGGAGCAACACAACTGCTACAACAGAACGTAGCATGATGAAAATATTGCTCTGCAGGATGTTTCCATTTCACATTGTGCCTAGTACTTTCACCTGCATAGCACAGTCCATATCAGGCCCCTACAAGTGCTTTGGAAGATTTTTCTTCATTTAAAAAGGTTCTTAAAAGTGAATCAGCAGTGCCCTTGTTAAGCAGTGCATCAAAATACAGATTCTGACATGGGATTAGCCTTCTCTGTTAATCTCAAAAGTTTCCCAAGAGATAGGTCTTAATCAACTTCACATTTACAGTCACACATTGAGACTTGTGCCACAGCAAAAAACATCCAAAACCAATCCCCCAAGTGGGTCTAAACCCATTCTTATTCCTACACACGAAGTCACAGAATGCAATGATCCATTCCAAATGTTTCCACATTTATTGCATCTAGACACCTCCATACCTGACTCAATGACCATTTTTCACCCTGTTCACAAGTTCTCGCTTCAGGCTTTGCTTTCTCCATTATCAACTCCCTCCTCCTCTGAAATTCTAGCTCCTCTTCAGCATTTTCTCTCTGTAAGGTAAATAACTCTGAAATTGTTGGCTCATTTCCTGTCATCCCCCCCAAATATTTTGTAATAATACACTCATTAACATACCTGACCAAAGGAAGACATATCCATCTGCATTTGACCACTATGTATAAAGATAAACAAATGCAAATATGTAATTCATTATGTAGAAACTTGAATATGATGCATCTAACAAATGCATTTTTTTTTCTAAAAAAAGTAGATAAACATGCTTTACTGTAGACTCCTGAAATTCTAAAGCTGTTGCTGGCTCTGTGGGATAGAGTCACACTACTGCTCTCTGAGATATCCACACTTAATCTGCAAGGTTTGAAATAAAACCATTGTACTGAGGTACAGCTTTGGTAACCATCCTGTTCAGTATTTCAAACAAATGGAGATATGAAATACTTTAAGAGTCATGGTTTTAACCTGCTCTGTGTTATTGCTTAAGAACTCCTCAAAATATTTCCTCACACTTCAGTTCAATGAAAACAACAGTCATAGTGGCTTTCATCTGCAAAATATCACCCTGAGTAATGGCTTGTAGCAAAACAAAAGGACAAGTTTGCTGCCAACAACCAAGCCATTATCTAGGAGACACTAGATTTCTGTATCTGACCTCTAGCACCCTGTGTTCAAATAGAAGCCACACATCAGATATTCACATTTAAGTGGATGAAAATAAAGCAGTCTAACAGAAAAGAAAGCAGTAAATAGGAATATGAAGCAAATATCTGAAAATATTGAAAAAGATTAAATCTGAATACCCAGATGTATCTTGCTGGGTAAGTCTGGATGTTAACATACAGGAGACATACGTTGAAAAGCCTATATAGTATTCAGTAAATTAAGAAGAAATGCTCATATTTTAAAGTTAAAAATAAGAATGTGCAGCCACAAAAACCCCAACACACTATGTAAAAACAGTAGAGAAGCAGTGACATGCATGACATGATTAGCCATTTTTAAAAGTCATATTTCAAATTTACTACAGTGTTACTAATGAAAGCACAGATGTGCATGGAGAAACAGATTTTCTGCATTTTACTGACCTTTTACATTTAATAAATAACGTTGGGGTAATATTTGAAAAAAAAACAAACCCCAGAAAACAAAATGACAACGTTTATAAGGCTAACAACTAAAATTTTTTTAAGGTTGCTTTTTTCCAAAACAAACTTTTCCCTTTAATTAGTTCCTTTAGCTTCCTAGTACTATTGCTTCTGCACCCATACAATGCTTATCACTTTGTGGGAAAAGTGTTTTAAGGAGATTTTCTCATTTGTACAATGTTTTATTAGGCAAAAATACTTCTGATTCAAGTATTTAGTATATGATTCAAGAATTCAAATATTTTTTACATGATGCAAAATAAAGCCAATAACTGTGCCTCTAGAAATACTAACAGGAGTGAACTTATGTCCTATTAGCACAAAGGACTGTTAAGAGAAAAAGAGGTATCAAAATAGGCATTAAGAGGAAAGAACAGTGTAGTCACAAATCCAAACAGCTGCGGTGAACTAGCCAAGGGAGGAAAGAGAGCCAAGTATACTTAAGGCTGGAAGTGACAAGGAGGAAGCTTCTAGTCTTCAGAGAAATGAAGCTGTAAACCAGCTATGTCATAGAAGTAAGAATTAAAATGAGTTTTGTAATGAACTTAGTCAATTTCTGAAGGTGATTACACAAAGCAATAGCAAGCATCTGGACAGAACTACCTACACCACTCCTGTCAGTCTGTTTCGGTAGGACAAGCATTTATTTTCTTTTAAATATTTATTCATCTGTCTATCCATAGATCCAGAGTAATTCTGCCTGACTTCAGCCACTTAAAACAGGCACCTAAACAATAAAATCTTGCCTTCTGTAGTCAGGGAAAATCTAAGTAACTTTCTCTGCCTCTTCTTTCTCCTTTGGATTTCAGAAGACTAAAAAATCTCCACTAATTCAAGCACCTTCTTTATGTGCCCCAATGAACTGTGATGAAGATGGGCCAGAAGACCTTCGCACTCCAACAAAACACACCAAGCATGAATAAGAGGAAAATTTATAGTCCTCAGAAGAAATGTGACAATCCTAGACAAGACCTCAGAATATCACAGTAGTGTATACAAAATTAATGCTTAAGGGGTGCCCCACCTCTAATTTTAGGTTTCTTTTATACCTGAAACCCTTCTTAATTTACTGGGAATCTTGTCTAGATACTCAGTGTGAGAATGCACCTTTCCTTCTTAACTATCAAGCATGCATCAGTATGCTAACAAGGCACATCAGAGAACTTTCAACTGTCAAAAGCAACTCTCAAATAATTCACATAAACCTTTAAATGCGCTACATTAATATATCAGCTACTGTAAGCATACCTGTTGGAATCTTGCAATAAATCTACTGCTTCTCTTAGTTGTTCTATCATTGCTATATCAATAGTTTGCTCTTCTGATAAATTTATTCTATAACAGAAAACAAAAGCATTCAAAAAAAAGGTACAACAGCAATTATCAAGGGTAGTATGAATCTCAGTTTATGTGCTGCATCTTCCAACTGGTGTGCAAACACTACAGAGGGGGGAAACGGCCTCTCTGCACACGAGTATGTGCTGAATTTATGGAAAGAGTCTCTTCTGAAAAAATTCTTCAACACATTGTCCTTAAAGCCTCTCAACCCAATACACACATAAACAAATGTGATGAACTAAACCTTTTAGTATTCAATTAAACAAAATTACTTCTAAAACTAAAAATCTATTTACAGATACTTAACTGCTGTCATCACAGGTACTGTTTTAACACGAGTAGCAAATACAATGCATTTTTCAGGACCAGCATGCTTTCTTTTGCTTTTCAACATTTTGCAACTCTTCTTGAGGTTTTGAAATATAATCTCCTGTTAGTTCTGCCAATAAGGTTCTTTCAGAAAGCACTTATTCTTTCCTTCCTTCAGCTTTTGTTTTTAAATCATGTAGGACTACACTGTTCTGATGGGTGACAACTTCACAGTACACTGTCATGTTAAATTTCCTTTTCTTATGCACTCGCCTCAGCAACTGATGTTCACTTGTTCTGTTCTTGAATTAGTACCTCCGAATTAATGATTACTTCAGAGTTAAAATTATGACAAAAGAAGTGGAAAAAATGGGGGATGCTTTCCAATTAAATTGATTTTTTAAATGTACATGAAATTTAGATCTTAAAAGTATTAATAAAATCTTTTTTTACCAATGCCTTTAATAAACTAAATATCAAAATACCCAATTAAAAAACTTGCATTCTACACAGGTAAAAAATATTACAGCATTATTGGTGCATACAAATTAATTAGCAGTAATACAACATCCACTCTACGTAGCAATAATATGTAAAACATTGAGCATACACAAAGTACAAAGTTATGCTTTTGTCATGCCTCCCAGTCTACAAAATTGTTAATTGACAAGGAAATGCCAGTTCTGGCCAAACTAATTAAATGACACAGCTAATTATTTATAGATACATTAAAAATACTCACATTTCGTCTGTTTGCCATTGTGTGTCCTCTTCTATTCTCAATAATTCATCACACTCTGCTGCTCTGCTCTGTAAGCACACAAAAGTGATAATGAGAACTGAACTTTGCAATTAAGTAGCAGATAAATTTTGCTTTCAGTCTCAGCACTGACCTAGTTTACGTAACAGTTTAGCCTGGCTAGTTGAAGCAATCCAACACTTCTGCTCCACTCCTCACTCTACCCTCTTTTAAGATACTGATTACAAGACCATCTATTCACTGCTCAGATTTTGAGGCCAACAGCTCTTTACCCTCATTTAACAGCAAAAAGAAAGTCAAGCAGCCTAAGAATTCTTTATTCTATGTCCCAGATTTCATTTATGACATTCTGGCGCATGGAAACAATGCTTCAATTAAGCACAACCCTAACTCTCCTCCTACTTGCTCTCCTACCACAGCCAGATTTGTTTACAGAGCCAGCAAATTCCAAACATGCAAACACTGGCAATTATGTACTTCATCCATAATTATTGACAGGATTCATACTAGACAATTTTAAGTTGTGAGTAATTTTTGGACAAAAACAACCAACCAAAACAGAACAAAAATTACATGCAAGAATTCCTATCAGTCAGCCGGTTATATTGGGTTCAATGTAGGCATAAATTAGAGCTCCCACACCTATAACTATGAAATGCTACTTATTAGAAAACCTGAATCTTTTCTTTTATGCTTCCACTTGGTGCTTTGCAACTGTCCCTTTCATCTCAGACAGGCAGGAACACTGAAGCAGTTCAGCTGCCAATAAACACAGAAGCTCTCTGAATGAATGTGCATTTGTACTTGTAGAAAATGAACAGCAGAAAACAGAGGCTTATCCTCTTCTGTGTCATGTGTTTGGCACATCAGTTGCATCACCCTGTGCCAATAGATGCTATCCAGCTCTGCCATATGTGACATGGAGGAGTCTACCAGCTTCTCTAACATTCTCCAAGGATGGCTCATTTCCCAGTGCCAATCCCCGTAAGAATGAGTAAAGCCATTCCTTTTCATCTTTCTTCACCTTATAGGAGTGAAGACCATGATTTTTTCCTGTAAGAAGGGTACATATCGTAAGATAACAAAAGTGCAACATTACTCTAGGAGGCAATTTGATATAATTTGTCTTTATAGACCTCTCCATTTCTACTATAATTTTTTAAAAAAGAAGAAAATTTATTTTACTACCATTACTTCAAAACTACAGCCACCACAAGTAACACAGTCATCTTGCATTTTAGCAATGTAACAAATGCAAAAAATTGCTCAATTCAAACCATAAAGCAAATAACATGGAACATACCTGCCATTTTTTCTTAAAGCCTTAAACATGGTTAAAGAGAAACTCACAGATATACTAGAAAGAGCTATAGGTAAATTGATCTTCTAGATTAATTGTAGTAATTTTAAACCTTTGTTTACCTTTTTTATGACAATGAGTATCAAGTGCAGTCTCTTATTCATTAAAATGTCTGCAGTTTACCATTCCTGTTGCTCTGCACTTAAGAAGATAGTGAAGATATTTTCCCCCACTTAAAAATGTCACAAACTTGCCTTAATGTAACTCATAAATTCAGTAGTAAGAGTATCCGAATCATCGAACTGGCTTCCTGTCTCTCTTGACTTATCATTGACAATCAAGTGAGAAGATCCTTGATGGAATTCCACTGGTAATGGCAATAAAGAAAAGATAGAAGAATGATTTCAGGTTCAGCTCAACATTTGTTACTCAAGATAATTGAACTGCATTGAATTATAGAGCTCAAGATCAAAGTTTAAACTCAAAGGATATTAAAAGATTCAAACAAGTTAAGATCTCTGCATTGTAAAGAATGATGTCATTCCATTTCAAAGTCTTAATAAACCAACGCCCTGGGCATATACACTTGTATATCAGAAGCACCACAGCAGGCACTGATGGAGCCAGTTTTGAACTACAGCAAGTCTGTCTTGCCAGTATCGGTACAGGAACACAGCTGGACAGCTGCCGAGTTTTTCAGACATTCAAAGTTATTATGCTGTAACAAAGAGTCAATTGCTTAGCAAAATTATTTAGAGCCTTCAGAACCTACGCCAATCTCTTGCTTATATATACACTATTTCCAGGGATATGATGCCATAAATTGCCCTTTCAAGTTTGCCAATAAACACCGTAGGATGTAATCCTCTTACTAATCTCTCTTTGTTCTACTAAATTCTGATGAGCATCTCAAATTAATTTAATTAAGTATATAACAGTGGGGAGAGGCTGATCTATTTATGTTGCTTCCATGTGCAACTCCCTGACTCCACCCTGCTGTTTAGCATTAGTACGTGCAAAACTTGGAGAAACGTCATTTATCAGTATGTAGTATAATTTGGAAAACTATTACTTTAAAAAATAGATAAAATCACAGCTTCCCACAAAATCGAAAGAGATCTACTTGTTTCCAGAGGTAATGCTGACTTTGATTATTAAACCTTAATATATGTGTTAAGTCACACTATACTACTGCTATAGTACATTTGCTAAATTACTGCACATTGCTATTACTGGTTTGGAAGCATAAGTTAAATCAACTTGCTCTTTTCTTCCCTCAGTTAGAACCAGATCTTATCCTGAGACAAGGTGTAACAAGTTCCTTGGAACTGCTATGGAAAACTACTATGAGAACTCAATTCAGTAGAGTTAAAGATGTCCTAAATAGCAGATTATTTTTTTTCACATGACTGCATATGTATGCTCAAAGCTTTCTGGGTGGGTAGGTAGGCATGGAATCAATGACAGAATTTCCCTGCATTTAACTTCCACATTTTTTACGTTCCAACCTTTTCTTGAGTTCGCATGGTGACCTGAATCTTCCTTTATAATATGATCTTCTTCCATGATGTCTGACATTGGCACATTAAAGCTGATAGTATCTTCATCAGATGGCTAGGGGAAAAAAAAAGGAGAAACAGTAGTTCCAGCTCAAACCAAGAATGGTAACAATGTACATATTAAGAAGATTGTTCACTGAAGAGTTGCAAACTAACATGAGAGAGGATACCAGACATATAACATGACAACATCCTGTTGTAGGAAGTTGTACTCATGCTGAATACATCCTCACAGTAGGTTTGCCAAGCAGTACAATTCATCTGTCCTCTTTTCCTGCCTTTCTCACTGCACTAGTCCTCTCCTTGCAGTGACACTGCTACACTATGCTGCTCCCTGTGCTATCCTGGGCCACCTAAAAATAGAGGCTCCTTGTAGCCACTCAAGTCTGTAGAAACACAGCCTCATATCACAGTCCCTTTTTCGTTCCCTCCAAGACTCTTCTTCCCTGCAGCTTGCTAATTGAATGCTTAAAGCAAGCAAGGTGAAATTCATAGGTCAAGGCAATACTTTCTATTAAAGCATAGAGTCTCAAATACACTAACTTTTCTTGATTTAAAAGTTCATCTATTTTTCTCATTCGTATTAGTCAGTACAATAGAACACATGACTTGTATCTACAAGCCCATTCCGTCTATGACAGGTAGTGGCTACACAAAAACACACTGACACACTAGACTTCACTTCTGTCCTGCACGACTACAGCTCTGCTGCTCTGCAGAGCCTGCATCGACCTGCTCACAATCTCTCCTGAAATAAACTACAGCAAAGCCACAACTTGCAAGGAGAGGCCCAGTTTGCATTCTTGCTCTCCTCAGATAGAGAACTTGGCACTATAACACTCTCAGAGCTTTGCAAATTTATTTCCCAGCAAACCCACAGGCAGGTGGTGCTCATTCTTTAAATGCACTTGTTTCTGTAACTCGACACTCTGTGCATACATATTCCATACATGTATTCTGCTACAATACACATACAATAATTTGTCCATATCCTTGCAGAATATATATTTTTAAGGAAATGGTATTTCCCATTTTGCCAATTCAGACCATTGTAACACATGATCTGCAATGTACTGGGAGTATTACATACAGTTATTTAATTATATAGTTACTAGCTTCTAGCATAACCATGACATTCTTACTACCTTAATGTGTTCATATTCCATGTAGAAAATACATATTTTAAATCCTGAAGCTAAGGTTTGTAATAAAGGATGGAGCCAATCTACCTTGCTTTTCAAAACTGTACCAAAGATACACGTGGGAACTCCTATTTGCCAAGAATAACTTGGGCTTACAACATTTTGTAAACATGGACCACCATGAATGTTTTTCCTTACAAACAAACTGCATATTATTAGCTCTACAAATTCACTGGCTGCATTCTTCTGCATGAAGGGAAAAAATCCAAAAGTATGTTCAGGGACTTCATAAAGCCCTTTCAAAATAAAATTTTTAAACTAATTATATTCTCAAATGAAACAAATTAGCATCTCAAAAAGGAAATAAGCAAACCACGCTCCAAGTATTCTAAGCACAAAAGTCACTGCTGCTTTGGACACTCCAACAGCTTAAAAACAACAAAAAAAGACATATACCGTATAAATTCGTTCAGGCAACCAAGGTTACAGTGAAGTTCCTTCTCTTTCTTTCAGGCTGTATCTCATGTGACATTTAAGCATTAAATTTAGTTATTTTAGATCAAAGTTCATGTTTTACTAATTTTTCAACTATCACTCAGAAACTACAGTAAAATGTTCTTATGCACGTTTTTACAAGTTCTGAATACTAAAACAGGTATAATTTTTTTTTTCAGCAGAGTAACACACACTTCTAGGAAAATAGTTGGGAATGTTGGTATAGAAAAGGCCATGGGCCATTAAATTTGGAAACAAAACATCATTCCTTTACCAGGCTCTGTCTCGCTGTCAGGACCTACAGAGGTCTGCAATTGATTTTCCAGGTGTTTCCTGCCAGTATACAGTGAAACAGAAACTATCCAAAATAGCCTGTACAATATACAGAAATACTGCTCATTCATAGGTAAAATACTGTATCTCACTCCCTTTGTCCAGAGTTTTAGTTTTTATTCAGCTAGCCACAGAAAACAATCTGAAGGTTTATTTCCAGCACTGTCTAATTGCCAGAGCAAGTAAACACGTTAAGATCTGCAAAGTTTCTAAAGTTCCTACACTACAACAAACTGCCACAACCACATCATCACAGAACACACTGAGACTGGGCACACTGAACATCTGCTAATTCCCAACAGGAAAGAGTCATCAGTCATAGAGAAAATGTGTGAGAAACCACCAGCATGTAACCAGGTAGCATATTTACTTCACTGAAAACAGCAGACATGGATTCTGGTTTGGTTCTCATTCTCTAGATTATGTAAACTGCCTGGTTCACTACTGGCAGGTTGTTGGAAGCAAGTATCACACTGCCCTCGACAGAGAGTTTACAGACAAAAAAAGTGTTAAAAATCCCAGGCTCCTTTTCTTTTAGTTTTCGCCATTTCTTAGTGAGAAATTCATGTCAAGAATGTTTTTATGGCTAAGGATCTATTCACATCATTAACCAACTTAAAATATAATCAAAATCTGAGTGCTGGAAGGGGAGCTGGACACAAAATTCATGCAACTTACCTCTGTTGCTGACAAACGTTTATCACCATTATCGCTACCAACACCTGAATCTGAGTCTTTTTTACTTGGGTAGATGTCATCAATGCTAAAAGTGAACACAAAATAAAAATTGGTAAAAAGCTATCATAGCATTTATGTTCAAATTCTGTCCTGGTTTCACTTAAACCAAAGCAAATTTCCAAACAGTCTTAATGGTACAGGGCAAAATAGCCTAGTACCGTTAAAAACTAAACATTCAGAGTCTGGTGATAATAAAATAGATCAGATGGAATGGCTGGTTAGCCTGAGGATTAAAAAAAAAAACAACAGACATCATCTGCTGTGAATTTGCTTTTGTCTATACATTAGACAATAATGCCAAGTAGCACAGGAGTCCAACTGAAGTAATTTAGCCATGGGAGAAGCAACTAAAATAGCTGAACTCAAACTGGAGTCAACTGATTTAACTGTAACCATTGGTCCATTAAAAATGTACTAATAGCTCCCTGCAGCTTGAAGTAATTATTAACACAGAAACCTCCTTTAGGTGTTTTAAAATAGACTTTCAAATTTAGCTTTTTAAGACAGTTACTGCAATAATGGCAACTGCTTCTCTCTTCTGGTTTCACTACCCGATATGACCTCTACAAATTTTAAAATACACTATTAGATGCAATACTCTCATCACTTAATTTTTTTTACAAATATACTTTATTATCACTTCATTTGCTACCCTGAAAGCTGCAGTACTAAATTCAGATTGACACAGCACTTTAAAAGGGCTTTATCGGTCTTCACATAAATAAGATATCTGGTTAATTACTCCTAATTTAAATTATCTCTTCTCAGTAAATTCTAAGGAGTTTTTTGGTAGAAACTGCCTACGGAAATCCAAACTGGGTTATGTTTCTTCGTTAGAAATGTGAAGTTATGCTCTAAAATAAAGATTTGGCAATTACTATGTGAAAGCGCATTAGGCTGTTAGTTACCAACTGGTTCTACTCTGTACTATCCTCTTATCCTAACCTGTATTCTCCAATATGAACAAAATACCATATAGGACATGACATTCCTGTCAATTGTCTTCTATATTAAAGAGTAAAACAGAAAAACAGTAGGTGTTTCTCAAATGGAAAACCTGTTCTTCATCCTGGATTCTTCTCATCTTTGACATTCATCTGATAGACATTCACAAAGGTGTCTCCAAAGGTACATAGAGGGAAACAATTTGAAGCCTTATATAGATGACTCAAAAGGAGACTGAACAACAGCTCCTGTTTTTTTTCCCCAGGGTTTCAGTAGCAACATCTCTTCTTATTCCCATCAAGACTTTTTCTCTCCAAAAACAAGGCATTATCATACTTTATCTGATTGGTTTTATTATACTGTCCATGTTAGCAAAGAAAGAGCTGTCTAAAAGCAAATTTCCAACAAGCGATGGAGATTCTCATAGAAAAGAACTGCTTCATATCTAGTTCCTGTCCTCAAACCACAGTACAAGATGACTTTTCCTAGATGTTTGATGCATGACATTAGAGAGTTTTGTCTTTCATTTTCCTAACAAATTAGCACATTTCACTTTAAAAGTATCTCAACATTCATGCAGTTCTCTTTGTTTCATGGATGAATAAAAAAGATTAAGACAACTATGTGATGAATATATAGTAACATATAAATCACAAAACAATACAAGAAATTAAAACTTATTTAATATGTTAATAGACCTACAAGAATGTTTCAACACCTAATGTTACTACCATCTGAATTATTTTCAGTATATTCCAAGAGTCCACTAGAAAGGTTAGATTTAAACTAAGGTTCACTTTTAAACTTACTTAATGTGCTGCTAACTTTAATCAGAACTGATTATTAATTTTTTTTCTAAACACTTACATAGGGATTTCACAAGAATAAAAGCAAATTAATTTAAATTACAGCAAAACAAATCTGTGTTCAAAATAGCATCAAAGCAAGCAAAACTGGAATCTAAAGATATAATGTTTTTTGTAACATGAAAAACCTAAGTGAGATTTTCATACATACCTCTCTTCCACAGGTTGGGGCAAATGCTGTGGTTCCATGGCATTAAGATACAGTGAGTCTGCTGTTTTAATCTGACAGGCTTGGACAGTCAGATATTTGAATATATGCACCTTACCCTTAGTACAAATCTGTTAAGACGAGAAAAAAAGAGTTGAGTTTATAACTAGAATGAAAGAAATTATTTACTCCATATGTCACATAGCATAAACCTCCCTGAAACCCAACTAATGTCATAACAATAGATGTCACAGAAAGGAAAATGGATTTTATTTTCTTTATTTTAATTACTAAGAACTAATTCAACTACCCAATAAATCGGTGTGCACCAGTATAAATACGCTCACAGTTCAAGACAGAAAACAAGAATGTATTCTACTTTAAAAAATCCAAATGAGCTTATAACTAAAAAAAATTTAAAATTACATATTGTATGGTCTATTACTAACTATAAATTGAATATTATTTTGTAAAATTAATCAAGAATGGCATTTAATTAATCAGCACATCATAAAATCACAGAACCATAGAATCTAGGGGTTGGAATGGACCTTACAAATCATCTAGTCCCAACCCCCCCCTGCCATGGGCAGGGACACCTCCCCACTAGATCAGGCTGCTCAAAGCTTCATCCAGCCTGGCTTAGAACACTGCCAGGGTTGGGGCAGCCACCACGTCCTAGGCAACCTGTTCCAGTGACTCATCACCCTCACAGTAAAAAAATATTTCCTCACATCCATATGTCCTTTATATTCTTCGTCACAATTGTTTTCACTAGTGTCCAAGCATCCTTGGGATGCATTTCACCAGTATTTTAGAATTTATTTTTCTTTAACTGCACATTTCAACTTCCTCTATTTATTTTTTTTTTTAGCTTAGGAGCAGCATCACTATTGATTATGTAAAGCATTTCTCCAATGTAATAAGAGCTCTTAAGTATTTCAACAGCTCTTGATCTAGAACAATTGCAGCTTTCAGAGATGCAGTTTGAACCTACTGCCCAACTCAGTAAGTCAGGGTCCATTCATTTCTTACTCAGAACGGCCTACAGCTCAGAGCAGGAGGTTGACTTCTTTGTGCATCACAATCTATAAACTTACACTATGAAGTGAAATACATTTCACATGGATTATGTTCTAGACCATTTGCATATTCTTTAAGTTAATAGCAAATCCTGTAGAACCTTCTAGAATGGGATTCCTATTAACACAGAGAAAAATTATCCATTAAGTTCCTCAATTCCCTATTTCAGAATTATAGACATATTCCAACATAAAGTTTCATATGCAGATAGGAATGAAAAAATAAACAGGCAGCTAACAGCATCAAAATCTTCTAGCCATGTGTTGGTTCAAGCCATGCACAGACTCATATAGAGAATGCAGGATATTTTCCAGGTCTTATTGAGATACCAACAACTAATGTCTGCGATGACTGAAATTCAGAAGGTGACATCTGATAGTCAATATTTTGTTATCATCTGTCCAACATTAAGGCACAATTTAAATTATAGCTGTTACTTACTTGTGCTGGTGGAGATTGCAAAGGATTATTCTCAAGCAGTAATACTTGTAAGTGGACCATCTTTCTAAAACAAATTGGAATCACAAGCACTTTATTGCAGGAAAAGTCGAACTTTACCAAGGGAAGCTGTACTAGTTCTAAAAGTAACAAAAAGGAGAGAAGGTGTTACATCTGTTTTCTTATGTATCTTATATTTTGCGATAAAATATTTCTGAATAAACCTTCATTTGCATTCAGGAAAAATATAAACTCAGAGAGAAATAAGATCAGCTTTTACTCCATTCTATACCAGGAAATTTTAAAAGTGTTATTGTTATACAAGTGATAATAAATTTTAAAGCAAATACTTTGAAATATGTTTTTTTCTGAAACTCAGCTGACAGTTCCCATCTGCATTTGCAGATACTTGTGCAACTTAAAAGATGCCTAGAATCATAAATCTAATACTTTAAAAAAAACCACTCTGTTCTTCAGTGAATACCACTGAATGTTACGTTCTGCAAACCCAAATGGAGTTAAGTTTGAATGCAGAGTAATTACACTTTTTTATTCATATTTACTTATATAATTAAAAACACTTTCAAAATGCTAATAAGAGCTACCATAAAGGTATTTTTTGTTCATTTGCTTTTACCTTGGGGTAAAACTTCGAGGTAATTTCTTCTGACATTCAGTTCTTTTAAAGATTTCAGTTGGCCGATCTGCTGTGGCAAAGCTGTGATCTCATTACAGCTGACATCCTACAGGCAAAACAGGAATAACAAATAATCATGAACTTTCAGCTCCTAAATGTTTAATAATACAAATATAGCTAATTTGCTATTACTGTCATAACATTTTATTAACCTGAAAACATGCAACAATCTATGTCCCATTGTTGTCACAATGCAAAACAAGTACTTGATGAAATGCTTATACATTACCTAAAACTAGAGTGAATTCTTATTTGAAGTCCAAGTTAATTTTGAAAGCTAATATAATTTCTATAGAAACATTCTAAACCATTTGCTTAAGACTTCCTACTTTTTTGTTCTTAAATTCTTTTCATACAAAGAATTCAGTATTGTGGTTATATAGCTGAGTACGTTCAGATGAAATGTAAAACTTCCAGTGTGTGGATCTCAGTCTTTCAAAAGGTTCTTGTTATTCTAAAGGGAGTATTTAAGCAATATAATAATTTTTTAAAAAATTAAACAGCAATAGTATTCTGTAATGATGCTCAGGAAAGGGATATATCTGAACACAGAATCATAAATAATCAAGGTTGGAGGAGACCTCTAAGATCATCAAGTTCAACCATTAAGCTGACATTCTGCTGTAACCCCTAAACCATAGCTTCCAGCATCAGATCCAGACACCTCTTAAACACTTCCAGGGATGCTGGCTCCACCACCTCCCTGGGCAATCTATTCCAATGCCTGACCACCATAACAGGGGGGAAAAAATTTCTAACAACTAATCTGAATCTCCCTTGCCTCAGCTTATGACCATTCCTTCTAGTCCTCTCCCTGCAGGCACAGCAGAAGAGACCATCTCCCACCTCTCTATAACCCCCTTTCAGGTACTTGTAGAAACCCATGAGGTCACCCCTGAGCAACTTCTTCTCAAGGCTAAACAAACCCAGTTCCCTCAGCACTTCCTTGTACATCATGTTTTCTAGACCTTCTATGAGCCTTGTTGCCCTTCACTCGACTCACCCCAGCGCCTCAACATCCTTTTTAAAGTGAGGGGCCCAAAACTGAACACAGTACTCACATCAGTATCACCATAACACATCATAGGCCATAATAAAATAGGACATACCTTGTTTAGTATTGTACAGATACTCAATATGTTATTGTAAATGGTACTTAACTGCCTAGACAGATTCTAAGTAGGTCTGATTTTGATGACTAAATACAAGTGGCTTAAAAATCTGGATGAAATTGGTATCCATTTTCATTTCACCACTCCTAAAGGAGCTACTTCTGTAAAGTTGAGTTCAAAGTATAGGGTCTGGCTATACTGAGGACAATTTCAAGCAACAAGTTCATAAACAATGGTATCGTATAAATAAATAAATATGATACTAACACTTTCTAACAAGAAACTGCTCTGAATGTGCATGAAAGACCAACTGCTTGGCTTAAATCAGTCTAAAATGAGACAGCTGTCAGATACCAGCTATCACTTGTGCTGCCAAACGGACACTGGAACCTTTGTTTACAGCCCAAGCAACCTGTAAATTTGAATAATGTCCCAACTAAGCCTTCATTTCTGTATTAAAAGCAGGAAACAGTATTTCATAGTATGAAAGTTAAGTGGGGTAATGCCAAATTCTCCTGCCTAACCAACAGAATACTCCTACTCTCACTTGTTTCAAATGGACTTATACAGTATCTGGGAGCTCTTATACTGCAAAAGTTCTAGATGTCAGTCTGATATCCAAGTCAACTCTTTGAAGATACTTGCTTTAATACTAGTCAAAAACTTTACATTATCTATCTTCAAGCCTAATAACTAGTCAACAAAAAATTATAGTAAAAGCAAAATGTGATCTGGCAATGCTGCTCACTCTACAAGACAAGTTTCTTCTTGCAACATAATCTCACTGCTGCCAGGGCTTCCTTCCCTTCTCAAAACACAGTCAGGAAATTACTGTAGCTTTTAGAACGGAAATTAAAAATCCCAGCTAATGAGTGCATTTTTTGCCCAAGTTGCCACAAAGTATGGTTAATTGCACTGTTCCCAGATCATTTATTTTTAAAGCTTTACTGTCCTATTTTTAATTTGCAGACTTTAAATGACTTCATAATTAGACACTCAATTTTTAGTGCATGGAATGTAAGTTTAAAGTCACCTTGTAGAAAAGCACTCTAGACCAAGTGCACGCTAATGAGTGCATTTTTTGCCCAAGTTGCCACAAAGTATGGTTAATTGCACTGTTCCCAGATCATTTATTTTTAAAGCTTTACTGTCCTATTTTTAATTTGCAGACTTTAAATGACTTCATAATTAGACACTCAATTTTTAGTGCATGGAATGTAAGTTTAAAGTCACCTTGTAGAAAAGCACTCTAGACCAAGTGCACTTAGGCACACACAACAAGTCAG